CCCCCCAAATAATAACCATCAGATAAATACAATGTAGAAGTCATGTTCTCTTCATTCTATTTATGTTGATTATTCCCTTGGAGGGGAGACGACCCAGGCAAACCTTCGTATTCAACTCACTGGAGTAAGGCTGGAAGAACCTCACAGCGAAAGGTGGTCGCCAGTGAGGCTTTGTGGCCCAGTTCATGAGAAGGGCAGCACTTGTGGTTTATTTATATGTGTAGTTGAGGTTGCTCGGGGTCCCCTGGCCTACTGAGTTCTAACAGTGGCCAATGTGCTTATCAAAGCCCCTTTGGTTACACAGATGGCCCTCCCTGGGTCTGGCTTGCCACCCATCAAGCATTGATGCCAGGTTCCCTTTTGACTCTGGCTTTTCTAGGCTGCCCTGCAAGTTGGGGGCCACGGGGAGCGGCTGCACCAGTGCCGGGAAGTCATGCTTCTGACGTACAAGTCTATCCCCATGCAAGTGGACGGCGAGCCGTGCAGGTTGGCCCCGGCCATGATCCGGATCTCCTTACGGAACCAGGCGAACATGGTCCAGAAGAGCAAGAGGAGGACCTCCATGCCTTTGCTCAATGAGTGAGTCAGCCCGGGCCCACCCTGGGAGGAGAACGGGGAACACGCGCAGGGTCCGGGGCCCTCACTCTGTGCCCACATAGGGGGTGGGGGGTGGGGAGGCCAGGAAGCACAGCGCTTTCTTCATCTCTCTGCTGGCAGGATGTAGAGCTCTGATGTATTTTTCCTTCATGTTTTATTAAGCAGTTACCACCCCCTTTACTGTGTGCAGGGGAGATGGTTCTCCTTCCCCCTGTGTCTCAGGGGGAAATCGACGAGGACTCCTGGACTCATGACACAGGAGGCCCTAACGCAGGTCTAGCCATAGATTCCCAGATGGACTTGGCCTACAGCCCCTCTTCAGAAAAAAGATGACCCCTGGCCACATCTGTACTGTAGCCCATAATCCAGGTCAAGTCCGCCTGGGTGGATCCATCGCCCCCACGCAGAAGCTATGGCATCACCTAGGTTGGGAAACGCTTGTCTGGATGGATGGGCGTGGTCTTGGTGCTGAGGAGGAACGTTGGTTTGCTCTCCACCAGCTCAGGGAGCTCTGGTTGCGCTTGTGGTTAAGGCGCTCGGCTGCCATCAGGCAGGTGGGCAGGTGGGACCAGCAGCTGGTTGGTGCTCAGCTTCCATCGACATTCGTGGCCCTGGACGCGCCATCCTGTAGGCAGTGCCACTTGATGGTGGTGGGTTCGGCTTTTGTTCGTTTTTTCACTCTGTTCACTTGGAGAGTAGTGATCCCCCCGTAGCAGGAGATTGCACCCCATTCTGCCTGCTAGTAAAGCGTCTCTTTCCTTGTGTCCTCATTTTGGGGTCGCGTCTGCTCTGAGTCTTCGACACCAGTTTCGCTTTCTGGGTAGCCTCCTAGACTCAGCCTGGCCCACCTATGCTCCCCCCCTAAAACAGAATGTCGTCTCTTGTGGGCATTTCCTAGCCTGATCTGACCTCGGGTGATCATGATTAGAGCTCTAGGTGCTATATAATCAATGCACAGGGTGACTTGTGCCTTATTACAATTTGTGACAGAAATGGCCACTTTAGGTGGGAAAGGAGACACAGAAAAGTGGGGGTTGGGGCCATCTTTTGAGTATCTTGTGGAAAT